GCATGTAGCTTTAGACCACATCCCTAATGCATTCAGCTTCAGACCTCAGATCAGTCCCAATGCATATAGCTTTAGACCACAGATCAGCCCAATGCATGCAGCTTCAGACCACAGAGCATCCCCAATTCCTGCTCCTTCAGACCCAAGATCAGCCCCATGATATATGACTTATCAGACCTCAAATAACCCTCAATGCATACCTACACACACTGTAAACTTCAGATCTTAATAGTAATATAGATTAATAGATTATAGTTTAATGTCAATATAGATTCAGTGCTTAAATGCATATGCTTCAGACCACAGATCAGTCCCAGTCCCATATAAATAAGTATTTCGGGCACACAACCTTTTTAAATTAAAGCAGAACTCCAGGAAAAACTTTTAGCTTAAATATTGGTAACTACTACATTTAGAAAACTCTAACTAAATTAATATACATGTCCTGACTACATGTCTAATGGCAACATTATGGCTTATGTATTGTATAGTCTGTAAACAAATTGTTATTTTGACCAGGGTTAATACAAGGTGTTCCATGAATGAAGTATGGGAGGGGTGTGGATGCAACATGATCTCTATTCTTTCATTCACAGAGCACATTGTATTCTACTACAAAAAGTACAAGGCCTTTTGTGAATGGAGGAGGAAGATTGGGATACTACTGTCACAGCTGATTCTTGCTGCTGTTTTTGACACCAGTGAGCAGCAAGCTGCAGCCATTGAGCCTATACAGCACACTTTAATGACAGGTTTCTAGAGGCTGCAACTATTCATGGCTGTTGACACAGCCAGAATTTACCTGCAGTGATTGCTGCTGGATGCACACAAAGGTTGAGATTTACTAAAGCTGGTTTACTCAGAATATGTTGCACCTGTGCATGGTAACCAATCAGCTTCTAACCTCAGCTTGTTCAGTTAAGCTTTAGCAATAAAACCTGGAAGCTGATTGGGTTGTATGCAGAAGTGCACAAGATTCTGAGTGAACCAGCTTTAGCAAGTAAACCCCAAAGTGCCTTGCAGCTAGCCCCTCACAGGTGCCAAAAGCAGCAGCAAAAAATCTGCAGATTTCTGCTGCTGCCATTCATAAAGTGGCTAAAAGCCCATATGAAAGTAGCCTTAGAACAGGGTTTGGAAACTAGTACTTTAGAACAAATAATATTTCTAAAGCACCAGTTACCAAACCTTGCTATAATGTTGTAGTTCTAAAGCAGTACTCAAACAGCCAGCCACAAAGCTGTACTCACAAAAGCCAAGCTCGAAGCAGTACTTGCAAAGCCAGGCACAAAGCTGTAGTCACAAAAAGCCAGGGACAGAGCTGTATTCACAAAGCCAGACAAAGACCTATACTCACAAAGCCAAGTACAGTGCTGTACTCACAAAGTTGCACTTACAAAAGCCAGGCACAAAGTCATACTCACAAAGCCAGGCACAAAGCTGTACTCACAAAGCCAGGCACAAAACAATAGTCACAAAGCCAGACGCAGAGCCATAGTCACAAAGCCAGGCACAAAGCCGTAGTCACAAAGCCAGGCACAGAGCTGTAGTCACAAAGCCAGGCACAGAGCTGTAGTCACAAAGTCAGGCACACAGCCGTAGTCACAAAGCCAGGCACAGAGCCGTAGTCACAAAGCCAGGCACAGAGCTGTAGTCACAAAGTCAAGCACAGAGCTGCACTCACAAAGTCAGCCACAAAGCAGTAGTTACAAAAGCCAGGCACAGAGCTGTACTTACAAAGCCAGGCACAGAGCCATAGTCACAAAGCCAGGCATAGAGCTGTAGTCACAAAGCCAGGCACAGAGCTATACTCATAAAGCTGCACTTACAAAAAACAGGCACAAAGTCATACTCACAAAGCCAGGCACAAAGCTGTACTCACAAAGCCAGGAACAGAGCTGTACTCACATAACCAGGCACAAAGCTGCACCGACATAGCCAGGCACAAAACCATAGTCACAAAGCCAGGCACAGAGCTGTAGTCACAAAGCTAGGCACAAAAATGTAGTCACAAAGCTAGACCCAAATCTGTACTCACCAAGTCAGGCACAGAGCTATAGTCACAAAGCCAGGTACAGTGCTGTTCTCACAAAGCAAGGCACAGATCTGTAGTCACAAAGCCAGGCACAAAGCCATAGTCACAAAGCCAGGCATGGAGCTGTAGTCACAAAGCCATGTACAGAGCTGTAGTCACAAACCCAGGCACAGAGCTGTACTTACAATGCCAGGTACAGAGCTGTACTCACAAAGCCAGGCACAGAGCTGTACTCACAAAGCCAGGCACAGAACTCTAGTCCCAAAGCCAGACACACCAGTCTGCGGACCAGCTGTTGGGTGGAGGCAAGCTACTGTTTGTGTGTGTCTGGTGTGTGTGTGGGGGGGTTGACAGTAGGAAGAGTGATTAACGCCAGGATTCTAGCTTGTAGGATAGCTGGAGGAATCCTAGAAAGGTGTGCTGAATGCTAGACTGCTCCCCAACCCTCGGAGTGCACCAGATTGTCTGTAAGATTCGTATCTGACTATGTGTGGTCAGCCAGCTGGATTGGATTCTCCTTGTAGTGGTGGCCAAAGGTAATGCGGGCTGTGAAAGTGTATCATGGCAAGTCTTATTGCTCAAAGTAAGTCCCCCTCATTCCTCTATATCCTTGTCACGGACCACACCTCGGTTAGCTCTAGTCACTGTGGACATGCATTTATTGGTAACCATTATCAACATGAATTGGTTAGGTTTGATGCTCTGAGTGTATCAACTGGTGATGCTTAACCATCTGGGACTTCTTAGGTGAGATAGTAACATCTTCCAAAATGCTTTTATTTAAAATCTACAGGCAGTAGGAATGCATACGATTCCTGAAGAGAGTTATGAGTACTTTATATTTTTATATGACAACCTTCACTTCTTATAACAGTGACCTAACACATTTTCTGGGCAAATATAATGAGATCTTACTGATATGGCAGGGTCCAGAATGGCTTCTTAAATATATATATATAGGGTGCAGAAGGCAACACCAATAGATCCCTTCAGTAACCTAGTCTTGAAAAAGTCTAAGTCATAATGAGTGAGTAAAGATTTTAAAAACCTTAAAAAAAAATCCTATCTACATGTTGTGTATTGGAAAGCTCCCCAGTGAGGGCACAGACTACATTAAAAAACAAAGGCAACTTGACATTTGTATTTTTCACTATTTGTAACTTGAAATATTTCAATAAAAAACTATTGGAAACTAAAATAAAAAATGAAGCCCTTCAAAAATGGTATATGTATGGTAATTTTTTATATTGTCTGTAGTTTTACTTTAAACTTCCTGGAGGTATTCCCGAGTGTAGCTCGGGGTAAAGTTTCAGCACCACAAGTGGTAACCCCGAGCTACACTCGGGAATAACTTGCAGCGCTGCTCCGGGATCTCTTCTTCACTTACCTTGTCCTGCGCTCCCGCGATGTCCCTCCTGCAGCGTCCCCGGCAATGTCCTCCAGGCAATGCCAGCATCTGTCTTCTGGGTTCCGTTCCTTGCGACGTCGGGATGTATGGGGACGGAACGGCGGGAAATTTACAAATGTGAAAAAGTGACATTCACTAAATACACTAAAATTACATAGTATAACATTACTGTATCAAAGCATTTCACATACATTTTGTCCAGAGTGCTTTGTCCTGTGCCCTGCCTGCATTTTTACCATTCTTTCTGCCTGGAAACTGAGAAATGTCCATAGCGTCCAAAAAAGTGTCCCTTTAGGTCAAAAGCGGTGTTAGACCAGCTAGAAAACAGCGATAGTAAATTAGAACTACTTGCAGAATTGAGTGATAAAGATTCATGGGGGAAATTCGTCATCAGACACTGAAAATGATTCTGCGACTGCTCAGTGATGTGCGAACTTGGCGCTATATTTCAAATTTCAGTGTTTTTTGGTTTGATTATGTTATTGAATTAAATTTATTAGTATTATATATTATATTATTATTTTTTATGATTATTTATTATATTATAATTTATGATTTCGGGTTTAAAATTTTAACATATCCGGGATGTTTACTAGACTCTTGTTCGGACAGATTTTTAGTGAGTTATTCCTAAAAATTACAGGTCTACTATAAAAAAAATACATATTTCCATGCAAAAAAATGTACCGCTTTGAGCACAGAAATACTGACATAATCAGACCGCTAGGGAGGCTACGCTCTATATAAGAAATTTAGTGCTATATATATCATACAATAGATATAAGTTGTGTAGCGAGCACTTACTGTAATGAAAATTTGGTACAAGCCGCTAGAACACCAAAAAGGTAACCAACATAACCTTCCAAGACAATATATAGACAATAAAGGTGCAGCGCTATTAATAAAGATAGTGAAATATCAACATACACTCAATTTTTAAGAGTATAAAGAAGATGAGGACATTAGATCATATTGTTCATCTTAAGATAAATTCGATGTTCAGTCTAATGTCCAAAAACATACAAAGATGTGATGTGCAAATTCTGCTGGGTCTCCTTTGCCAATAAGGATAAGTGATCCAAAGGTGAACAGGAAATAAATTAAATGCGCACTCACCAGAAGGACATCTAAGCCACAGTGGCTTAGATGTCCAGATGCTGTAGCCCCCCTGACGCTTTTCGTGCTATGCACGTCCTCAAAGGGTACAGGGTAAGCCTGTACCCTCAGGGGGGCTACAGCATCTGGACATCTAAGCCACCGCTGGTGGCTATTCTTTAATCATTGCGGTGCGGTCAGTATTTTACTTATATGTTTTCATCGTTACTTCTGGAATAAAGTGCTTTTATGCAGTATCACGCTATGTGATGTCCCTTATTGGGCTCTTTATGAGCGCCACCCTTTCGCAGTATCAAGTTTAAGGAGGGACCCCAGAGGCGCATGAGTGTCTGAGGAACCAGGGAACCTGGCCATGATGGATGACTAGTGAGGACCAGGGAGCGCAGCTTGACCTGAGTGCGGAGGAGGACCTAGATCGGGTGTCGGCAACCCGCGGCTCCAGAGCCGCATGCGGCTCTTTTTCACCTTGGCTGCGGCTCTGGAGCACACTGCCCACCAGGTGACAGGCAATAGGGCAGCAATGGGCAAACTACGGCCCGGCGGACCTTTTAATCCGGCCCGCGCAGCTAGGCTCCCGCTAGGCTCCTCTCACAGTCCGCCCTGAAGACCGCTGTAGCATGAAAATCTGTCTCCTATGAGGATCTGTCCCCCTCGACGTATCTGCGCATGTGCCGGAGATCGCCGATTGGCTGCTAATGCCTGAAACTGGCACATGCGCAGATACGTCGAGGGGGACAGATCCTCATAGGAGACAGATTTTCATGCTACACCGGAACGGCGCGGGAACACGGCGAGAGGAACGCGCGGAGCAAAGGTAAGTGAATTGACACAGGGGGGACTTGGGGACTTAATATGGGGGATGAATTAATATGGGGGATGAATTACTATAGGGGGGGTGAATTACTATGGGGGATGAATTACTATATGGGGGATGAATTACTATGGGGGATGAATTACTATATGGGGGATGAATTACTATGGGGGATTAATTACTATATGGGGGATTAATTACTATGGGGGGATTAATTACTATATGGGGGATTAATTACTATGGGGGATTAATTACTATGGGGGATGGAATTACTATGGGGGATTAATTACTATATGGGGGATTAATTACTATGGGGGATGAATTACTATGGGGGATGAATTACTATATGGGGGATGAATTACTATGGGGGATGAATTACTATGGGGGATGAATTACTATATGGGGGATGAATTACTATGGGGGATGAATTACTATGGGGGATGAATTACTATATGGGGGGATGAATTACTATGGGGGGATGAATTACTATGGGGGATGAATTACTATATGGGGGATTAATTACTATGCTTACTATGGGGGAATATTACTATACTTACTATGGATGACACATACACATCATTCATCTACTCTTGGTCTGGCCCCCGGGTCCAATATATGAACCCATTGCGGCCCTCAAGTCAAAAAGTTTGCCCACCCCTGCAATAGGGTCTTCTGTGTGCTGGGCGCCCGCTCCCCTCCCTCCTCTTGGGCGTCCGCCCCAAAAGTCAGGACTCTGCAGCTAGCCAGCAATGGGCAAACTACGGCCCGGCGGACCTTTTAATCCGGCCCGCGGAGCGTGGCAAACATTGGCTGTCAGGATGTAGGCGGGGCAGCGTGACGAACTCCTCTCCTCTCACAGTCCACCCTGAAGACCGGAACGGCGCGGTAAAACACGGCGAGAGGAACGCGCGGAGCAAAGGTAAGGGAATTGACACAATATGGGGAATGAATTACTATACGGGGGATGAATTACTATAGGGTGGATGAATTACTATATGGGGGATGAATTACTATGGGGGATGAATTACTATATGGGGGATGAATTACTATGGGGGATGAATTACTATATGGGGGATGAATTACTATGGGGGATGAATTACTATATGGGGGATTAATTACTATGTGGGGGATGAATTACTATGGGGGATGAATTACTATATGGGGGATGAATTACTATGGGGGATGAATTACTATGGGGGATGAATTACTATATGGGGGATGAATTACTATGGGGGATGAATTACTATATGGGGGATGAATTACTATGGGGGATGAATTACTATGGGGGATGAATTACTATATGGGGGATGAATTACTATATGGGGGATGTATTTTCAGTTTTAAAAATGTGGCTCTCAAAATAAATTTCAATCGTGGTTTTGGCGAGATTTGGCTCAGTTGAAAAAAAAGGTTGCCCACCACTGACCTAAGGCTATGATTGTGATTATGACGATACACTGTGGCCCTGATTAACCCTTTGCTTACTGGGCCCTTAAACCCCCTTCATGACCAGAGCGCTTTTTGCAATATATGCAGTGTCGGATTTGTTTTAAATGTTGCAATGGTTTTGCGGCTCCCAGTCTTTTTTTCCCTCTCGGAAACGGGTCCAAGTGGCTCTTTATGTCTTAAAAGGTTGCAGACCCCTGACCTAGATGTACCTGATGAGAGAGAGGAAACTTCTTTCATGCGTATTTTAAACGCACTTCTGGTAAGTGCGCATTTAATTTATTTCCTGTTCACCTTTGGATCACTTATCCTTATTGGCAAAGGAGACCCGGCAGAATTTGCACATCACATCTTTGTATGTTTTTGGATATTAGACTGAACATCGAATTTATCTTAAGATGAACAATATGATCTAATGTCCTCATCTTTATACTCTTAAAAATTGATATTTCACTATCTTTATTAATAGCGCTGCACCTTTATTGTCTATATATATATCATCATACAATGACTTTCTCTGAGCTACCTTTTTTCAAAGACATACATCTACAGCCGCTCTGGCATAGTGACTAATTGTAGCTAATTTCAATGCCCATCTTTATAGAAAATGATCTGACATTTTTCGCTCCTTCTGGTCCACTGGATACCGTGCATGTCTTCATTACGTCTTCTCACCCTCTGCCATGGCCCATAAGAAGCAAAACACAAGCAACTAGCATTTACAAAGGCAAGTTGTTGCTCCACACTACACAAATAGCAGTAAAAAAACTAAGGATCAGAGAGAGAAGAAATTTCATTTGGGGGTAGAAGCAGAAGACCTAGGCAAACACAAGGGAACAAAAAGTTTGTCATCTTTATTTTTCCCTTTGCCAACCCATGCAATAGATCCTAAGTGCATTTTATATGGTGCAAATGTTTCTTTTTTTTACTCCATTTACTCCATTACTGCCACATGCAATGTGTCTAAATATGTAGAATACATTACAAAACATTATAGTAGCATGTGGGCTATGATGTTAGTAATAGTGTTGCATGATACATAATCAATTTGACAATTAATTATAATAGTAAGACAGCAGGTTCAAGAAAAGCAAGTCAATAGAATAAACAAATTCCTCTTAAAAACATATTTGAACTTGCTAATTAGTCTTCCAGTACAGTGATGATTTCTATGAAAATGTTATAAGAAAATGCTGCAGTTGGCTGTTACACAATACAAAATGATGAGTAAATTCCTCCTGTAGATGTAAGACTCAAGGATTTAAACTCCACTTTCAAGGCCAGTAAATTATTTATTCTAAAATCCCATAGACCCCTACATCTGTGTTGCCTGTTTTAAAAAAAAATGCATTATGGGAACCTGAAAATTCTTCCTTCACTTGTAAGACTCAAAAATTTGAGCTTAACTTCAAATCCCAGCAATTGCATGTATGAAGATGTTACAGCAGAACAGCAGATATATTTAAGTTGATAGATAAAGAAGCACAAAACCATGACTAAAATTTCCTTTGCCACTTGTAAGGCTCATATATAATGAACTGGATACTACTAAAGAAACATAACTCTCCCATGCGACAGGAAAAAAAAATGTGTCAGAAGAGCCTGAAGGATGACTGATATTAAGGTGTTGAGATTTAACTGAAGAGAAAGAGATATTGCAGAAATGCAAGCTTGTCATTGAAGATTTTGGAAATCCATGATTTTGTTGAGAAGCAAAAAAAAATGTAAGGAAACTTTAAAGATTAGGGATGAGTGTAGTAACTAGAGATGAGCGAATCGAAGTATCCGAAGTGGAATTCGAGTCGAATATCTGAAAAATTTCGATTCGTGCCGAATCCGAAAAATAGCCTAATTCGGACGCGCAAATCGAAATTTTTCAGAAAATGGCGGCTGACATGTGCGGCGACGGAGCGGGGATGTCTGGGAAGGCGCGCAGACAAGGCGCGCTGACCCATAATGCATGCCTCAACTACATGTGATCGCATCAGCCTATCAGCAGCCAGCCAGCCAGCACTGTGTAATGGTCGAGCTATAAATAGCGGCGCATTTTTGGAATTCTTCATTTGCCTGCAGTTATTGAACAGAGGCAGACCGCTCTGTACTAGGGACAGGGACAGAGTTAGGGCCACAGGGACAGAGAACCATTACTCAGGGACACAGACTTGTTAATGAGGGCCACAGAATCGTTATTTAGGGACAAAGAAACGCTAGTTAGGGCCACAGAATTCATAATCAGGGACAGACAGAATTGTTACTCAGTGCCAGAGAATTGTTACTTAGGGCCACAGAAACGTTATTAGGGCCACAGAATTGTTTACTCAGGGACAGACAGAATTGTTACTGAGTGCCAGAGAATTGTTACTCAGGGACAGACAGAATTGTTACTGAGTGCCAGAGAATTGTTACTTAGGGCCACACAGAAACTTTAATTAGGGCCACAGAATTTTTACTCAGGGACAGACAGAATTGTTACTCAGTGCCAGAGAATTGTTACTCAGGGACAGACAGAATTGTTACTGAGTGCCAGAGAATTGTTACTCAGGGCCACAGAAACTTTACTTAGGGCCACAGAATTTTTACTCAGGGACAGACAGAATTGTTACTGAGTGCCAGAGAATTGTTACTCAGGGACAGACAGAATTGTTACTGAGTGCCAGAAATCAGGGTTACTTAGGGCCACAGAAACTTTACTTAGGGCCACAGAATTGTTACTCGCACAGACACAGAATTGTTACTCGCACAGACACAGAATTGTTACTGAAGGCCACAGAACTGTTACTTAGGGCCACAGAATTGTTACTCGCACAGACACAGAATTGTTACTCGCACAGACACAGAACTGTTACTGAGGGCCACAGAATTGTTACTTAGGGCCACAGAAACTTTAGTTAGGGCCACAGAATTGTTACTCAGGGACAGACAGAATTGTTACTGAGTGCCAGAGAGAATTGTTACTCAGGGACAGACAGAATTGTTACTGAGTGCCAGAGAATTGTTACTTAGGGCCACAGAAACAGGGACAGACAGAAAGTGCCAGAGAATTGTTACAGGACAGAAATTGTTACTTGGGCCACAGAACTTTTTTTACTCAGGGACAGACAGAATTGTTACTGAGTGCCAGAGAATTGTTACTCAGGGACAGACAGAATTGTTACTGAGTGCCAGAGAATTGTTACTTAGGGCCACAGAAACTTTACTTAGGGCCACAGAATTGTTACTCAGGCCACAGACAGAATTGTTACTGAGTGCCAGAGAATTGTTACTCAGGGACAGAATTGTTACAGTGCCAGAGGCCACAGAACTGTTACTTAGGGCCACAGAATTGTTACTTAGGAATTGTTACTCGCACAGACACAGAATTGTTACTGAGGCCACAGAATTGTTACTTACAGTTACACAGAACAGAATTGTTACTGAGGGCCACAGAAATTGTTACTTAGGGACAGACAGAACTGTTACTTAGGGCCACAGAATTGTTACTCAGGGACAGACAGAATTGTTACTGAGTGCCAGAGAATTGTTACTCAGGGACAGACAGAATTGTTACTGAGTGCCAGAGAATTGTTACTTAGGGCCACAGAAACTTTAATTAGGGCCACAGAATTTTTACTCAGGGACAGACAGAATTGTTACTGAGTGCCAGAGAATTGTTACTCAGGGACAGACAGAATTGTTACTGAGTGCCAGAGAATTGTTACTCAGGGCCACAGAAACTTTACTTAGGGCCACAGAATTTTTACTCAGGGACAGACAGAATTGTTACTGAGTGCCAGAGAATTGTTACTCAGGGACAGACAGAATTGTTACTGAGTGCCAGAGAATTGTTACTCAGGGACAGACAGAATTGTTACTGAGTGCCACAGAAGAATTGTTACTCAGGGCCACAGAAATTGTTACTTAGGGCCACAGAATTTTTACTCAGGGACAGACACAGAATTGTTACTGAGTGCCACAGAATTGTTTACTCAGGGACAGACACAGAATTGTTACTGAGTGCCAGAGAATTGTTACTCAGGGCCACAGACAGAACTTTACTTAGGGCCACAGAATTGTTACTCAGGGACAGACAGAATTGTTTACTGAGTGCCAGAGAATTGTTACTCAGGGACAGACAGAATTGTTACTGAGTGCCAGAGAATTGTTACTCAGGGACAGACAGAATTGTTACTGAGTGCCAGAGAATTGTTACTTAGGGCCACAGAAACTTTATTAGGGCCACAGAATTTTTACTCAGGGACAGACAGAATTGTTACTGAGTGCCAGAGAATTGTTACTCAGGGACAGACAGAATTGTTACGGAGTGCCAGAGAATTGTTACTCAGGGCCCACAGAAACTTTACTTAGGGCCAGAGAATTTTTTACTCAGGGACAGACAGAATTGTTACTGAGTGCCAGAGAATTGTTACTCAGGGACAGACAGAATTGTTACGGAGTGCCAGAGAATTGTTACTCAGGGACA